AGACCCAGACTTGATTCCTGGCCTCATCCTCCTAGTTCGGTTGGCCCATCTTCCCTGCCCTGCTGCAGTGAGAACTGTCAATGAGACGCCTCCTCCACCGATGCTAGGTGGCACCAGAACACCTTCCAATAAGAGGCTCTTGGACTCAGCTCCTGTGTGAAAATGCCCAAAACCTTCTGGTGGATGTCCTGAAATTTTGGCTGGGGAGCACTCTTTGGCAGTACCCCTCAAAGCCTGTCTTCTCGGGGTGCTGCTCCAGCTCCTGGGCCCTGCCTTCTGTGTCAGTGGAATGCTTCCTGAGTCCCAGGCCTCCTTGGAGGTGTCTGTTCTTTGGTTATCTGGGAGGATTTGCTCCTGAGTAACTGATTTCTCTTTCTGTGCTCACGGGTAGGTCTGGCTGGGTGCCCAGCTCACAGGGAGATATTTTAGGGCAATTCAGGCATGAATTCTGGTTCTCCTTAGGTGCCACTATCTTCCTTACTTACTGAAGCTTTTGTCTGCACAGCATCCCAGCTAGATATGGTGCAGTTTTTCCCCAGGTCACATTGCCTGTCGCAGAGTTGGGATGGAATTCGGGTTTGCTAACCACTGCACAACCTTGCTTCTCAACAGAATAGCAAGGAGATAAGACCCTCTGTCATTTGGTCCTTACCCGCCTTCCAGCCTCATCTTGTGGTTGTTTGGCTCTGTGGTCAAGAGCACAGCTTCTGGTTTTAGACCTCCCCAGATTAGAATGCTGCCTCATCTAATTGTTAATTGTGAGACTGTGATGTTTCCGTATTAAAAAAGGACGTGGTGGATTGCAAACTGCCTCAAATTCATTTACAGCTCCCCGCATTACAAGTCAGAGTGTGTTTCCCCACTTCCTCAAAACTGGCTGGTTTGTGACTTACTTCCATAGAATGTGGCGGGCAGTGATGATGTGGGAGTGCTGAGTGTAGGTCTCAAGAGTCTTTGCGGCTTCTATTGTCACTCCCAGAATGTTGCTCCTGTGTGACAAGGCTGGGCTGACACCCTTGAGAATGAGAGACCATGTGGAGAGAGATCCCAGCCATCCCAAGCCGAGGCCCGGTACAGAAGCACGTTCAGTCTCTGCCATGTGGAGTGCAGATGAGATGTTCTGGTGGGGGGGGGGGGACTAGGCCAAGCTGCCTATATATGGCATTGATAGCTGTTAGTCCACCAAGTTTTTTTTATTATTTATTTTTTTTCTTTTTTATTGAATGGTAACTAATCTGAAACACTTTGATCAAACTGGTTAACATAGCCTTCATGTCATTTTCTTAGTTATTGTGTTAAAATGTTCATATTCTACTCTTAGAAAGATTCACTTGTACCCTTGTCAGATAAACCACAGAAGTGATCCCTCCAATTCCCCTCCCTCCACCCATCCCCCCCTCCCTTCTCCCTCCCCCCTCCCTGTATTCTTAGGCTGTTATTAGGTTATAGCTTTCATATAAAAGGTATAAATTAGTTTCATAATAATCCACCAGTTTTTGAGGGTAGTTTGTCACACAGCAGAAGCTAACTGAAACAGGGGACAGTGACAGTCCATACCTTTTAAGGTCGCTGTGAACTTTACATGCTAATGTGTGCTGTGACCAGCTCCTTGTGCATGGTGAGCTAGCAGGTTATTATACAGGTAGTCCCTGAGTTCCAAACATCTGACTTCTTTACAACTCACATCCATGATGAGGGTATTATAGTAAGTAATTGGGTTACAAACAGCTGACTGATGTCTGACTTGCGCTTACCAACATGGGCTATTCCAGGCAACAGGTTAAGTGTACCTTCCAACTTACCTACATGTACACATTCAACTTAAGACAAACCTACAGAAGCTCTCTCATTCATAACCTGGGGAGTGGCTGTACTAACACAATCACGAGGCACTGCCTCGTGCTTATAGGCTTTTTAATCACACAAATCTCCTTTCCTTTCCTTGAATATAAACTCTTTTACCTCTTCAGGGCTTTGTACTTTTTTGGAACGGCCTTTCTTTGCTGTCTTATTTCCGTGGCTGAGGTCTCGGCCACTTCTCCGAGAGGCCTTCTCCGCCCATCCTGGGAACCACTCTCCTCCCACTCTCCATTCTCGCTTCCTCATAGTGTGTCATATCGCATTTATTGGCTTTCCTGAGTATTGTCTGTCTCCCTTGTAGGCTGTGAATTCACAGAGGGCAGGAACTGGCTCTGATTTTGTTCCTTGTCTTGCCCTTGATGCCTACCACTACGCAGTGGGGGGCAGCAGCCAGTCAGAGGTTCAGACTGTGTGTGCTGCGTCTGGTTTCTACAGCCCTGTTGGTTTGTGTCACACAGAGATGTTGGAGAGCAAGGTGTCCCAGCAGGCTGTAAGTTTCCCTAAGACAGGGACTGAGTGCCTCAGGGGCTCCTGGCCGATTGGCAAACATCTACTAGGGCTTAAGAGAAGTTTAACAAATAGACAAATGGATGGATGAATAAATGAGTGCAAAGGAAAATGAATGAAAGAGAGTATTCATAACAAGTGGTAATGATATAAGGGGGAAAACAACTATGAAAAACAGTGTTTATTTTATTTCTTTAATAAAAGATGACTATTTCCAGTCAATCAATAAAATATCATGAACGTATAAAACTGTTTTAAGTACAATCATTAGTGTTACGTTATAGGAAAATAGTTATAATCCCCCCCATCCCCCCGGCAAGATGGCACATTGGAATGTCACAGTTGGTTTGATTTACAAAGAGGGGCAAGAGTTGGTGACCAGTTGGCCCAGTTTCCCAGGATATGGAACTTTGTAAAAATGAGTATGTCCCTGGGAAACTGGGACGGTTGGTCATATAAGAAAAAGAGCAGCATCAGAATTTTGGGTCCTTTGGAATTGAGAAAGAGGGATCAGACGCTTTTTTGACTTTCCCATCACCTCTTTCTTTCTTACTCTGAAACAAAAATTCCCTTGTGTTATTACTGAGGGTGTTAGATTTCAAAGGGTTTTTACCACCGGGTTTCATGTAATTTTGACTTGATCCCTTTGCTCAGCCTGGGAGGCAAGGCAGATCTAACCTCATTTGCAGGTGTGGGGTCCTGCTTCAAGGCTCTGAGATCCTACAGAGAACAGAGGCACAGCAAAGACTCAGACTCAGATCTCCTGAGGCCACTGTTCTGTTCTTTCCTGAAACATCCTACCTGGCTCCTAGAGGCTTTTTAGTAGTGGAAGGAATCACATGGGGGAACGGGGCCCTAAGATCCAAGTTCTGACTCAGTCCCCTTACTTGGAACAAATCCTACATCACTGCTTTGCCTGGTGCGTTTTCCTGCACCTCCCTTGGTGGTCCTCATGTAGGATTCCCCTGAATCCCCACCAGCCAGCTAGTGCTGGTATCATTATGTGGCAGAGGTGGTGAGAGACAGCAAGTGTGCTGTCTCCAACATGGTGCTCCAAATAGCACCTGCCACCCGTTTGCCAGAAAGAGGTGCAGAGGCCAGCCCAGTCCATGATTTGTCAACTGTATTGTTGACTGGTTTTTGGCACCTTTGCCAAGGAGTCAATCAAGTGATAGGCCAACTCATGGCTGGTGGCTATGACTCTTAGACTCTAAGACTTCCCGCACTTGCACCCATCCCTTTACCTTTTACCTCACAGGCACTGCCTCAAGGAGGGAGGGCTCAGTCACCTTCAGGGCTTAGCTTAAAAGATAGGCTCTCTCTGCTCACAGAAGACCTGTTTTCTCTGGACAGCCTATTAGAATTCTATTGTCCATTCTTTTATTTAAAGACCGTTTTGAGCTCTTGTACGTTTTTGGCATTTATGACCTCTAGGGAAAAGAATTCTATGTAATCCCTCTTTCCCTGTGAAGTGCGACTCTGATTCTGCTTACTTTAACTGAAAGTTCCAGGAGGTGGTATTCTGGGATAAACTGAATGAATGGGGTTTGAAGCTAGCCCGACTTTTGAAGATCTCATTCTTTGAGCTCAGACTTGCACTATCCTGTGGGCCTATTCTGGTGCAGATGTGCTAAGATCTCCTGATCTTAGAGGTTTGTTTGTTTGTGTTTTTGTTCTAAGGGTTGAATGGGGATGGGTAATTTTATTTAAAAATAAATATAATAAATAGCTTTAAAAAAGAGTGCTGCCTATGTCCTGTTGGCAGATTTCCCAGATGGGACAGATGGTCTATTAACTAAAACAGGGTCTCTGGTGCACCTGCTCTCTTCAGCAAGTCTATTCTTCTTGCCTCTCACACTAGCTGTGACTCTACAACAACCAGAAGTGTCTATGACACTGAGTTCAAATCCACTTCTCATCTTTAGATATGGGTTTTTTTCTTTTGGCTTAAAGACAAAAAAGTGGACCCATTCTCTGTCTGAGTGGAAGGGGTGTTAACACAGACCTGGCCATCACAGCAACACAGTTGAGATAAAGCCTTTGTATATATGGGTCTCTCTGAAACTTTAACCCTTGGCACCAACGGGTGAGGTGATAGTTTGATAAGCCTGGAAACTTCCATATCCTGAGATGTGGCCTAGGTTGATACACTTCTTAGGATCTTGGCCCCGTTACACTGGGTCATAGGCTGTACTTATTTGGACGGTCAGGTGAATACTCTGGGCTAAAAAAAATTGAGAATTCAATGCAAAAGAAACACAGCCTTTTATCCAAACTATTGTTTGCAAGATACGCTGCCTGGAAGCAGCAGGAAACTAGAGGCTGAAGGTTTTTCAGTCTTTTTGTGTCAAAGTCCTAGAGCCCACCATTTCCTCCAAGAAAGCCAAGCCTGGTAGAGAGAAAAGATTCAGGCTAGCACATTCTTTCCTCTGTGAAGAGCAAGGGCCTGTGTTTAGGCAGCCTCTTCTGAGTTTGTACAGATTTCTGCAGCCCCCTCATATGGTCAGAGAACTCTGGGATCGGCGATGGCTGCCCCTCTGTGAGCACCGGGACATGTTGGTCTGTCCACCTGAGTAGGCTCCAGGTGCCATTGTCCTGTTAGGCCCCAGAAGGTGTTCCCCAGATGAAAGTTTAGCAGAGGAATCCCCTGAGCATGGGTCGTCTGTCATGTGCTCTCTGCTGCCTCTCTGTCCATGGAGCACCCAGTCCTCGATGTGCTTCCGCTTGGGAGGGCTGGAGCTCTTTGGGGTGCTGGCTCTGAAGGCCTGTTCCGGCCTATGTGGCATTGGATGCTGGGAAGGCTGAGACATGCTAGGTACTGGGGCAGGCCTCTGTCTGCTCCTCCAATTCTGGATTTCTAGGTCTCTTTTATCCCTGGGGAGTTGGTCAATTTTCTGAGCTTTTAAGAGGAGAGATTTCTCATAGGTCCCTCGGAGAGATAGGATAAAGTATCTGGTGGGAAAAAAAGAGAAGAAATAATTCCCGATTTCTGCTGACTTTTAAAATTTCAGCATTGAAAGTGATTTTAGTGGCTTTACTATACTTTTTTTGGTTGTTTTATCACCCTCAGCAGAGTGCCATGGCAGCACAGCTCACAGCAACCTCCAACTCCTGGGCTTAGGCAATTCTCTTGCCTCAGCCTTCTGAGTAGCTGGGACTATAGGCACCCGCCACAACATCCGACTATTTTTTGTTGCAGTTTGGCCAGGGCCAGGTTCGAACTGGCCACCCTTGGTATATGGGGCTGGCGCCCTACCTACTGGGCCACAGGTGCCACCCGCTTTACTATACTCTTCACTGACGGTTATCAAATCCATGCCTGGGCACCTCTGCTGTTGAGGAGCTCAACAACAACAGTAATGACAACAAAATATCGCAATATTTGTTATGTGCCAGGACTATTCTAAGTGTTTTTCACATAATTAACTCATTTTATTTTCTAGACAATCCCATGTGGTTAGTACCTCTGTGCAGAGATGAGGACATTGGGGTGCTGAGAGATTTGGTGATTTGTCCAAAGCCACACAGTGGTCAGGCTGTGGTCAGAATCAAGCTTTCTAGACCCAGAGGCTTGTCTCTTAGCTACCACGCACGAGACCATCCATTCTATTTCTGGGTTATTCTAATTTAGGAAAATGTAATTGCTTTATAATGTTAAGCCTTTGTGGAATATAATACTTTTTAAGTCGTAGTTTTAAATCCATATGCTTTCCTTGAATCTGTGGGCCATGCTGACTTGACAGCATCATATTTGCCAGAGAAAGAGACTGAGGTCCCAAGTGGTGAGGTAGGATTCTCAAGGTCTCCTGAGACATTGATAGAGATGACCATTGACTGACCCAGAATTCTTTTCCCTCTGCCAAGCTCCATGCAGCTTGAGGTGGACTGGAATTAGGAATGTCTATCTGTGCCTAGAATCTTCTCTCTGTTCAATATTTAGGCAGGAAGAGGTAAGAAGTACAATAAAACTATATGGTTTATGAGTAAACACCAGTTTGTGACACTGTGTAACTAACTCCCTTCTTCTGTATGTTAGTTGCTTTATCTAAAAAGTAATCCCTCTGGCCCAGAGGACAGCTAAATTAATTTCCAAATTAGTCTCTTTGAAATTTTTGCTTTGCAAGCCTTCTAAGCAAAGAGGTTTCCATTCTTCCACCATGTCTAAAAGCTGCAGGGCAACCCCGCAGTGGGCAAGAGGTTTCTGAAGACTACCGTAGACCCCAGGGCATCACCTAAGATTTGTCTCCATTCTTTTTTCACCTCATCCAGTGAGGTAGAAGGGGCCAGGGATGTGTTCCAGGAGGATTTGACTTTTTCCTTGGAAACTGGAATTTCCTTTGTGGAAAACTTTCCTCCAAACTGCCACTTTCCTTCTCCACTCAGTTATTCAACGAATACTTTTCAAGCCCTCACAATTGTCTAGACCCCAGGGGGTTAAGCTGTGAATATGACAGAAAAGGTTCTTGCTCCCATGGACATGTGAATACAGTTGTAAATGGAGGGAGCAAACGAGAGTCTCAAATACCCAATGGAGAGCTTCCTTGAGGAAGAGATACAGGAGGTAGCCAGGCAAAGGGGATGAGAACCAAAACTCAGACACAAGGATCAAAGTGCAGAGAGTAAGGATTGACATGTGACCCAGAAGGGGTTGGCAAGAGCTAGGGGCCAGGTTTTGGTCTTCATGCTTTATTGTAAAGGTCTTAGGGAAGCCCTTGGAGGTTTTTTATAATAAATAAGTGGCATAATTACACTTGGATGCAATGACAATGGATTAGAGTAAGACTCCACAGGAAACTACTCAAGTTTTGGGGGGGTGGGGGGGTGGGGTGGGGAGGTGAAAGGGTAATTAGCAGTCTACTTGTGGTGGTGGCTACAGAAATGGAAATAGAAGAAGGATTTGAGAAATATATAGCAGGAAGAACTGTCAGGACCTGATGACAGGCTAGGTATGGGCCTGAGTTAGTAGGAGATGTCAAGGATGACTCCCAGGGCCCTGTCTTGGTCCCGAGTGGGTGGCATTTGCTGTTGGAAACTCTGAAAGAAACCAAGGTTTCTGGGATGGTGGTGGTGAGAGAGGATGGGGTCATGAATTAAATTGTAAATGTCCCCTTCATATGGCCAGTGGCGGTGATGAATAGGTAGCTCAAAAGGTGTTTGGGTTTTTTTTGTTTTTGTAGAGACAGAGTCTCACTTTTTCGCCCTCGGGAGTCGCTCCAGCAACCTCCAACTCCTGGGCTTAGGCGATTCTTCTGCCTCAGCCTCCCAAGTAGCTGGGACTACAGGCGCCCACCACAACGCCCAGCTATTTTTTGTTGCAGTTTGGCAGGGGCTGGGTTTGAACCCGCCACCCTCAGCATATGGGGCCGGCGCCCTACTCACTGAGCCACAGGCGCCTCCCTCGAAAGGTGTTTGGAATTCAGGAGGTCTAGGCTGGGAATTTATGGGAAGATTCATCTGTTTAAAAATAATTTTTTTAAAAAAAATTTCAGATTAATATGAAGGTCCAAATGATTAGGTTACAATTTTACATTTGTTAAGGAAAGTCCCTGTTGTAGTTGTCCTGCACCCAGGAA